AAGGCACCGCGGGAGTGAGAGCTGTGCTCATTAGTAATCTGTGACAGGAGTGGCTTAAGGCAACCAGGTGAAGTTAGCTAACATTTCAGTAATCAAAATAGTTTTGCTTTTAACAGCAGTAAGTGGGCTGAAAATACAGCAGGTTTGAAGTGCAGAGGCTGAAGATGGGCACCATCAGTTGATCCGAGCTTCTTCCCGTAACTCATGAAGACACACTCCAGACTACAAAAAGAAGAAGAAAGTTGGACAAAGGCCAGTCTCCCGCAGCCCCTTGCCGTAACAACCCTGCACTCGAAGCATTTACAGGACTAGAGATAGGCAAAGAGAGATGTACGAGTTTCCCACGTTGCTTTCCCAGCTGTAGTTTTCCTCTGTGCTTGCACACTGGTGTCTCTCACCCAGGACTACGCATCCATTTCCAGCAGTCACTTCAGTGCTTGCTCCTGTTACAGCGCAAACTTAAACCCTGTCCTCCTACGAAATACTTGGGGATTACAGGAGAATTCAAACCCAGGACTGAACTGTATGTCCCTGGCCCAATGTTAGTATCATTCCACCCAGCAGCAGAATCTCTCCTTGAAAAAAGCCCGCTCACTCTGGCAGCGCCCTTGGAACTGCCGCACAGGAAAGGATTCGTCTAGCAGGAAGCTGGGGCAGATGAGACACAGCGCTCAGACCAGGGGGGCTATGGCCTCTCTCCTTACACTTCTGCAACTCACAGCTGTGGAAACCAGGAACAACCTTGGGGTTTAAGTCCCAGCCATGTTTGCTGCCACCCATCTCACTCCGCGCAGGTGCTCAAGATTCAGCTGCGAGAGCCCCACAGCAGCCACCGTTTACCACTCATTGCAGGCAGCCACTGTTACAGCAGTCCCTGCTATCTCAAGTTAATGTTGTATAAACTCTCATTTGGGCATCCTGGCTTTATTTAAACTGTACCAGTCAGTGAACAAGCACCATCTATTCCAATTCTATGAGAAATCCCCTTTTTGGTCAAACTTACCAATAATGATGATGATGATAATGAGAACAACAGCTATCAATATTGCCCACATCTGTGGAAAAAGCCATACAACACTTACTACAAACTATGCAGCAGCATTACCTGGCCTTTAGCAGCCCCTGCAAGGCACTTTTGCACCGTGTGCTAGATCTGACACAGCAATTAAAACTACTTCAGCCATCAAGAGCGACTGCCCATTACCACTCTGAGGCAGGGGGCTGTGCACACAGGCAGAGCAGACCAACAGGCTCTTTTCCATTGTGCCTCCATGCAAAGCCTGTCTCAGGTGACTACAGAGCAGGAGGGAAGAACTACTGAGCATCATTTCTATTCTTACCCTATACCACATCTCTCACCATCTGTTGCTCACCAAAGAAGATCCCAACCTTCGCTAACAGCTACGGGAGCCTGAGCGAGCTCCTTCCGATACTTCCCACACACTCATTCAACCTATGCATTTTTGGCCTCTTCCCATTCCCCAAAGCCTCAGATTACCAAGGTGTTTCCCTCTGGCCGTTACCAGGTCTTGCATCAAGCAGCACGGCTGGTAATCCGGCTTTTGGTTACTTTACCTAACCACTACACCATGTTTTAAAAATAGATGCTGTAACTTAAACAACATTGGCTGAAGTTGCTTTTACTTCCGCCTTTTGAGATGCCAGTCATAATAGCATTAACTGCAATACCGCACAGTGGAAGTACACAAGCCATGGTTACCTTACAGTTCTTCCACCAATACTTTCTCTTCAGCTTGGCTGCACTGGTCTCAAACTGGGAAGCTCCTGCTTGCAGTGCATCGGCACGGTCATCCAGCTCTGACAGCTTCTGATCTCGCTCCAATACCTTGTCCACATTCACTCTCATGATGTCAACCACCTACATCAATTTAATACTTACAGTAAGTTATCAGTTGTACCACCCGCTGTGGAGCTTAATCGCAGGCAACAGATAGCAACACATGGTACTCAATGTTCTCAGAAGTAGGAGCTACTGCCTTTTAGTATATCCAGCCATCACCTTAAACCCTTGCAGCTGGAAGCCCCTAGTACCTGCTTTAAAATGTCAGCAGTGCCAGTTGCACTGGCATTCCCTTAAACCTGGGAAATGACTCCTGACTCACTTCAGGAGACGAGGCATAAGAGTCAACCACATGTCAAAGAAACACCACCAGTAGCCAGCCTGGCTTTTGGACTCCCCAGGAATCTGGACACATCGTATTCTGTGGTCAGCCTCCATTGCTACTGAAGAGAAAAAAGCTTGTTCTCCGTAAGAACAAAGGTTTTAATCTTTACTTATGCCAAATCCTCAAGCACAGAATTTGCAGCTAATGTTTGGACACTGGTAACTTCTCTCTACTTCCCCACTCCAGCTGAATGGATTTTTTTTTAACCTTTGCAAGAGTTAAGATGACACAAGTATAATAAAGCAAGCTGAATGATACTAGGGCTTCCCCTTCACATAATGAAGGGGAAACTACTCTGGTCAAAATATCCATTCTAGTTATACAGGTTTCCTGAAGGAAAACTATTACATTGCTATCAGAGTTGACTTTTACCTCATCTACTTGGTGTTGAGTCTGCTGAAGACGACGATTACTGCCAGCAGGCACATTTGAGCCTCCGGGGACACTGGCTGACCTGCAGTTAAAAAAAAAAAAAACAAACCAAAAAACCCAGACATCATTATCTGCTTAACTTTTGATAGGTCATGGTTTTGGTTTGAAGTCGATATGCTTAGAGTACAAGAGTTATCAGATATTCCTGAAAACAGGGACTCGTATCCTTGGAATAAATTCGGGGCAGCTTCCTACTGGAGAAGTGATGTTTTAACAGCTGACAGTAGGTGTAAGTCCTGCAGCATCCCAACATCTTGCCAACAAATTGCTCGATGTGCTAAAAGATAGCAGTGGCTTGCTCATTCTATAGTTTACAATAAGAGAACTCCTACAACAGCTCATAGGGCTCAAACATGCAAGAGTTTGGGCTCTGGGGAGCTCATTTTCCGGTACAAGCATAAACACTAAGCTTCAAGCTACAGCAGTTTACAAAAAATTAAATACAGAAACTTAATGGTTATTCTGACTGTGCTCTTCCAGTGGCTGCCTCTGTGTCCATTCTTTGAAACAGTTGACATGAAGCAAGAAGAAGCACAAGAAGGAAAAAGCACGCAGTGTATACAATAACTTACCTCCGGTCAGCTCTGAATTCATAGCCTCAGGCAGTTGAGTTCCTTTTACCAACTGCAATACCCTGCGTCTTTGTAATGGGTGCAAGAGCCTCTGCACATACCCCTCACACCTTTTTCACCCCTTCACCGTTGTCTGTCTCTAGAACTAGCTAGACTCAATTTGCTGTTCCACATTTTCATTTCTTCCACATCAGAAGCGTGTGCTGTTTAGTGCATCCTGATACTCAAAAGAGCTGACTGTAAGCACCGGCTGTATTTACACGTTGACCTCTTACGTTAGCGAGAACGGATGCACACACACACACACGAGCAAACCAGGAAGCCTGTGACAAGGCTCAAGAGCAGTCCGGGGGTAATACAGCATAACTGCGCCTCTCCTTTGGCACTTAAGCCACGCTTTCACGCTGTCCCAGGCCGAAGTCTCGGAAATGAAC